GTGAACTCTGCCCGTCTCTCTTTCTCTACCCCGGGGGCAAATACCGGAACCGATATCATCGCTAATTGGAGAGAGCTCTGACCTCCCTATTCCTACACACCCCCTGATCCCCTCCTCCCCCCAAATCCCCTCGCTGTGTGGACACTCTCGGCGACCCGCCTTTACAACCCTGTTATCTTGTGCCGGGGGGGGGGGGGGGGGGGGGGGGGGGGAAGAAAGGGGGGGGGGGGGGGGAGATATCAGCCGGAGGCGTACAACACGCGAAAAAGATTAAAGGCATGCGAGATGATGAGCTGTACCGCGCAAATCAATACGCCAGTGACCGACATCGTTCCGCCCACCATAAAGCGCTCACGTGCCCCTTTCACAATTTTTAAGGCAACAAAAAAAAACAAAAAAACAAAACAAAAACAACTGCGACATTTATGCACCCAGAAAAATAGTTTCTTGATTCAAGTGCGAGCTGACACAGGATAAAATTTACCAATAAACAAGGCAAAATAGTCTTTGGAATAAGATTTCTCCCTTATTCGAAAGAAAATATCAGCTTGTCTCAAGAGAAAATTTGATCTTGTGTCAGCGTGCACTTGAAACAAGGAAAAATTTACTTGAAACAATAAACGATATTTCTGGGTGTGCACTCGTTAATGTCCAGCACCGTGCTGGAGGTGAAACGGACGCGCTCACCTTATCCACGACCTCGAGCATCCACACGCCGTGCGGCCGCTCGCCCCACGTGAGCACGGACATGAAGTGCCAGTCCTCGAAGCCGCGGTCCGAGAGGTCGCGCTGCCTGGGGCTCAGGATCTGCACCTTAGTACCTGAAACAAAAGCGCCGGGGCGGAGAAGAGAAGCACGGCCCTTTCAGCACACAGTGTGTTGCCAAATAGGTGGCCCAAAACAATTCCCATGAATTCGCCGGTGAGCAAGCCTGCCCGCTGGACAACCTGTCGGGCGAGGGTGTACGAGTGAGTACTGCCTTGCCTAGTAGGCAGGGGTGGGTCCCAGGTATGTAACACACAATCGTCAAAAAGCTCGTCAATGACCCTCATTTGACGTCAAAATGAGCTCAATCTGGCTACCTAGCCGTAGCAAATCTTGACGATGAGCGTCAAAATGAGGTCATTGTGACATCATTTTTAATAAAAACATGTTCTACCTAGGGTGCAGGTAGGGAACATTTTGCCTACCTCATCGCGAGTGGCAACACTGTTCAGAGAGTTTTAGGCGCGGGGTACGGCCGTAAAGTAAGTAGTGTCTTCCCTGCCGACTCATGCCGACGACGCTACTTGGAGTTTTAGCAGAGCTGAAAGGACGACGACGACGTCGTGGAGGGTGATGTGTACAAAGTGTACT